GATCCGCCGGAACAACCCTGACGAAATTGTATCAACACCGGATGAAACTAGCGAAGAGGAGCCGATGGCAAATAAGAAACGAGTTCGGAAACGGTACAATCTTCGAAGTAAAACTCGAGCATTAAACGACACGCCCGAACAGAGTAGTAATTCTGATGTAGAAATGCGTCCAGCCAAGTCTCCTCCGGTTCGTTTCCAATTCAAACCGCGTCAGTGGCCTATACCACCCCCGTCACCAACGTCACGAGCAAAGAAAAAAATCAACCAACCTGGTCCGTCAGGTTTGCAACAACCGCCGCCGGTCTCAGATAACGAAAGCACGGATACAGCTAGCGAAGTGACCGAAAATATCGCAAACGAGACTAACAATAAAAACGCAGGCGCGGTCGGTGAAAAAGAAAAAAAAAAGATGCCCAAGAGCATAGAGGTTCCCGGACCCCCTAATATAAACTCTTCATCAATAGAAGATTCTGAAAATGAAGGATTATCAGATGACCCTCCGCCAGTAAACGAACGGCATGGTATAAGTAATAGTGACGGTGACGATAGTGAAGAACTTCGTACAGACGCGGAAGACTCCTCCGAGGACGATCGTCGTTCTGAGGAGGGAGAGGCAGGAGACAACGAAAATATTCGCCCTCCGCGAGCCGCCAGCGCGACAATCACACCACAGATACGTGAAATTACGCCAAACGTCTGCGAAACGCGTGACCGATTATCAATGCAATCTGATAATATTTTAATTTTCGTCAACGTTCAAGGTAAATCCTATGACGAGGGTAGCCGCGAACTTGCTGATGTATTACAAATACCAAATAATCTAAACAACGCATATTGTCGCTCTGTAGTAATTCCGTACAAAGGAGATAAACGCTGCATTGTAGCAGTACCTAAATATAGGAAAATGGACCTAGTATCGACGGGAGATATCCGTGAGACCTTGGGAAATGTATATAATAATGTTCTAGAATTAGGATTAGAATCATTTAGCGTAGCAAAAACTAGTAAAATAGATGATGTTAAATGGTTGACCATCCAACAAAAGTTAATTGACATATTTTCCAATACCGCGGTAAAAATTACAATTTGTTTAAATTTGGTCCGCATTCCTAACAATGAGGAAAGACCACAAATTCTAGAGGAATATCACGGCTCTGCTGTAGGAGGTCATAAGGGTATGACCAAAACCTACAAGAGAATAAGACAAAATTTTTTCTGGCCAAAATTAAAAAGCGACGTTGTCAATTATATACAACGATGCTTGGATTGTCAACTAAAGAAACTAGTTAGGGTTAAAACAAAACAACCAATGGTCCTCACGGATACTCCGGATGCAGGATTCGATAAAATAGGATTAGATATTATGTATCCTACGCATATTTCTGCGTCAGGCAATAGATATATTCTAACTATTCAAGATCTGTTGACTAAGTTCTCTATGGCAGTCGCTTTAGAGCACGCAACGGCCGTCGACGTAGCAAAGGCTCTGGTGAACAGATGGTTTTGCTACTTCGGTCCGCCAAAAGCCATTTTAACAGATCAAGGTACTAACTTCCTTTCGAGTTTGCTCAAGAACATAGCAAAAAAATATAAAATTAAACAGTACCATACAACAGCATATAATCCACAGAGCAATGGCTCGGTTGAACGTTCCCACCATGTTCTTCAAGAATATATAAAACAATGTATCGGCGAGCAGGGAGACTGGGATGAATGCTTAGATTTGGCTTCATTTTCATACAACGTTAGCGAGCATGAAGGTACGGGATTCACCCCATACCAATTAGTATTCGGAAAATTACCCCGTCTCCCTTCTCAGTTTCAAGGCGTGGAGGAAACTAATGAATCATATGCTGAATATTTAGAACAATTATTTAGACGTATCAAACAGTCTGAAGCGGCTGCCGGTGAGAACTTACGTCGAGCCAAAGTACGATCTAAATTATATTATGATAGAAAAGTTAATCCTCTTAGAATAAGACCAGGAACGAGAGTGTTCCTCCTAGTAGAGCCTAGGAAGGGAAAGGGCGACCCGCAGTATACCGGTCCCCACGAAGTTTTGGGAATAGAGGGTAATGAGGTAGCCGAAATTGAGGTTAATGGGGAATCAAAAATTGTCCATATAAACAAGTTAAGAATTTCTCGTATATAATTTCAGATCATACTGCTGGTAATCCTCCCTCTTTCTCAGGCACTGATGGGATTCGACTGCGGGGGATCCTCTATGAATACTTCTACGCTATCATTGTTAGATGTAGGGGAGTGCAAAATTCCAGATAACCCGCCCGAAGTGGAAAAACTTAACATTTACTTATTACAACCCGCCGAGGTTTCTAATGTACACGTAATTGAATGTAAAATATTAATAAATCGACACATACAACACTGTGGTATGCACTCCCATACATCCTCCGTGCTATACGGTCGGAGAGAATATTATATAAGTTTAGATTACCATAAATGTAAGAAAATGCACGAGACGAACTCAGTTTGGCTATTTGATCGTATTCAATTTGACAATTTAAAAGTGAATAGTACAAATCACCGCGTTGCCATATTGGCCGGAAGCCAAAACATGGGTGGAGATTGTAAATCGGGAACTTACAGTGACGAGTATGGCACGTGGTCAGGTGTAGTGGTCGATGCGACATTCGAAATCACGCTTACCGAGTATGAAACGGCGCTAAACTCTAAAACAAACGAAGTGCTATTACGTTCGGGAACGCGATGTGAAGCGGGAAAACTGAATTGCATTACGAGTGACGGAATGTCCGCATTTTGGAGTGAAGTGCCTAAAAATTCGTGTTTAATGAAATACGCGCAACTTTACCAGGGACCTGCTACTCGATTAATAGGTGAAAACGGGTTACCGGACGTATACTCGCTCACTACCGAGGACATCACATTTGCCCTCGCACAACAAGGGACCATGGAAGTCTGTGGACACACAGTTATCAGAACAGAACATCCCAAACTATTCATAATAATAATCAAGAACCCAGGCCATACACTTGGAGTAGAGTTAATCAAAATTGAAGATATGGATATATTCGCATACATTAATAGTAAATTTGTGTATGTCGAAAAATTTGTTCGTCAACAGATGCAGAACCTTTATCATGACGTCCTGGTTCATCGCTGCGAACTGGAACGAGCCGTTCTTCTAAACGCTTTGGCTTTATCTTCTCTAACTCCAGACGAATTCGGTTATGCCCTGATGAAAGGTCCAGGTTATTATACAACTGTCGCCGGAGAATTAGTACACATTACAAAATGCGTTGCTGTACCAGTTCGAGTAAGAGAAGCTGAGCACTGTTATCAAGAGCTCCCGGTGACCTATAACAATAAAAGCTATTTCCTCAAACCCAAGTCGAGAATACTAGTACTGCGCGGAACATTAGTTGAGTGCAACACTATTTTACCTATTGGTTATTTCGTTGACGGTGCGTGGTTTCACATCACTCCACAAGCAATTAGGGCACCTGCTCCTCAACAACTTCTACCAATGTCCGCACCAACATGGAATTACGAGAATCCAGAGCATCTGGCAACCTCGGGAATATATTCACAGAAAGACTTGGACAAGCTTAGAAATCGTATCATGTTCCCCGCGGAAAAACCTGCGCTACTTAACTCAATAGCAATGGGAGCAGGTGGTCGAATGATTCCAGCAGGAAGCGTAGATGTCATGGGCCTCTTTGATGAAAATGCCCTGGAAAAACTAGCAGTCAGCACCGGATGGAGAATCTGGCGAAGCTTTGTTGACTTCGGCTCCGTCACCGCCGGTCTTTTATCAATATTATTGCTGCTTAGATTGATTAAGTTCGTCTTCGATACGCTATTCCACGGATATGCTCTATATAGCATATATGGATGTAGTATATTATTAATTACATCAGTATGGGATACGCTAGCGAATCTCATACTGCACCATCACCATCATCGCCGAAGAATTCACGACGAAGAAGGTCAAATTATGACACCTATACCACGACCAA